CATTGGTCTCTATGAAGAGAAAGAGTCAGGGGCTGTAGTGGTGATATCACACCTAGAGTGGTGAGGCTGTTGGATTTGTCTAAACAATTCTCTATAACTCGTCCTCACGACCAGTTTTCACTCCTTCTACATAGGTTTTTCACATCTGTGCTCTTCCTGACAGTAGAACTGGTAGTAAATGGATTCACAGAAGATGCACAGTGAGCTGCAGAGTGACATGAGGGCCAACCAACTGCCACATTGACTCCTGTGTAAACAGTATTAGGCAGGTGGTCATAATGTTATGGCTGATCAGTGTATATGACACATGAGCGGTTTTTACCCAAAACACAGTTAGGATTAGAGAAACAATGGTAAAATAAAACGAACCCAAAAAATCATTCCTTTTCCTTTATGGCCCCTAATTACTTGGAGTTACAGTAGTTACCTACACAAAAATGTAATTTCAGTCACTAGAAAAATATGAATGTAGTTGAACTACCAGCAAGCTACTGCAAAATGTAGTGAAACTACAAGTTTAATTACATGTAGTTCACTACTAAAATTGTGAATGTAGGACATACTTTTAACAGTATTTCTACACTGCAAGTTTTACTTATATCACATATCTATGTCTTAGAGCACGAGTATCAAACTGACAAGGTTCACATTATGATCCCTGCTCGGAATGACAACAGCACATCAGTCAAACTAAGCAGAGGACAGAATCATCAGTCACTACCAATCAAATGTTCGAACACGCTTCCCACTGAATCGAATGGGAAAGTGTCTATGTTTTTGGCTGGTAGTGTACATGCTGAAAGCCCCTTCAGTGTTCCCACTGAAGCACAGCGGCTCTGTAAGCCAGACTATACATTAATCTTTCAAGTGCATTTCCTGTTGATGGCATGTAACATCAGAGACAAGTGGACAGACAGCCTGCTGCACCAGAGCCCAGAGTTCAGTCTCTAAGATGAAGATTAATTAAGAGTGAACACTAAGACGCATAAAACATTCAAGCTCAGCTGCAGAATTAAAACTGTATCGGTTCGGATAGAACCATCATGATGATATTTTAGGTTTGAAATATTTATTCTGGGGAAGGTTAATACATCTGTGACCTTGTCAAAATATAGCACTCAAGTCATCTCAAGTAGCTTATGTTTATTGACAGTGTGGTAACAACCAGAATCATTCAACTGTTAACCAGTGTGTCATAGATCAGTCTACTATCTTTTTATTAAATACAACAGACGTGTGACATGCAGGTGATAAAGAGCTGGGACAGCATTCACTTGGCCACTTCTTCAAAATTGGGCTCTGCAAAAAAACAGAATAATAAAGAGAATCATTAGTTACAGCTGCGTACTTCCCTGTCAGTTTTGAAACAAGGCATGCTGCAGCTGTACAAGCTACGATGCTTGAGATAAAATTTAAAATCTAAACAAGTACAGAAATACAGACACTAGCTAGTTGTAGCTTCATCAAAATACCATGAAGGCCAGAAGTAAAGGCTTTGTGAACAAATCTAAAAAGTGACACCATCTATGCACTACATAGAGACACTGACAAAGTATCTTTCCCATGACAAAAGAATAAATATTTATGAGGGGCAAACTGAGGAATCATTCTAGCACTGTATTTTATCAATATAGGACTTTCTAGAACATAAAAGGACATATTAAAACACTGGCTTGTTAGACAGAATTTGCATTATTAATAAAATCTGATGTTTCTAGTTGTTTATATACATATCTAGAATATTACTTCCAGTTTGACCTTTATTTCTATTAGAAATTTAACATTTAAATGTCACATTTTTTGATTTATTCAAATTACTTGAAACAACATTTGTTTCTCTTTTTAATTGATAACACGAAGCCATTAGGGTAGCGAACAACACTATGTACACAGTGCAAACCAACATGAGCCCCCACTAACCTGAAAATTTTAAGTCAGGGAACCCGTTAAGGTCTCCTCCGCCGTATAGCCTCTGTAGTTTGTTAACCTCATCAGACACATCCTTCTGGTAAGCGGGCCCTGCGTCCACAACGCCACCGGAAGCCCTGGGAGAGCCAAGACATCAAATAATTATTCGAGAAATAAGCGTGATTAGGAAATGAGATGTCAGGATTACATGATCGATGCTGTGAGGTTTATCAACATGTCACTGGTTGAAGCCTAGATAGTGAATCATTTTTATCTGGACTCTGAGCAGCCACATCTATGCGTAATGTTTAGACATTTTGAGTTGTGTCCTGTCAACTAACTTGCTCTTGGTGTTGTATTCGCGGATCTTGTCCAGGAATAGTTTCTGGACGGGATCGAGTTCCTTGGCCCGGTTGAAGACAACGGCAGAGATGCCGATGTTCCTGCGCAGGGTCAGGCTCACAGCGGAGCGCAGCACGGAGGACAGGTGGAATAACCGGTGAAGTGCCATCTAAAAGACAGGGGACAGCATCGACTTAGGCTGTGATCAAGACATGAGGCTGTGTATTAGGCGCCCTGTCCCCTACTGATCTGACGGATGCGCTGCTGCTCCGTTGGAGGTAACAGTTCGATTTAAAGTTAGCACAAGTTAGCTACTGTTGAGGCAGCTCATATGTACGTGCCATTCGCTTATGCCAGCTAACTCGCACAACAAACAGGTGCGGCATTCAAAACGACTTTATAGAGATTACGTTAATTGTTGACTTGTATATAAATAAAAAATCACAATATGCACGCCAGCCAGCTAACGCTAATGTTAGCTTCAACACAACATTCGCTGCTAACATGCTAAGCTAGTTTTATAGGACATCACACGGCCAACAAAACTCTTGTACGGTGTCTCATGCTACACTCAGTAAAGACATGAAAATGCCTTTATCAGTATACACAACAGTGATACTCAAGGTTATGTTAAGTGCCTAAACAGTATTGCTGTTAAAATAGTAGCTACTCACCTTGGATGTGACACTCAGAGCACAAACTCTAAATTCACAGAGCCGGGGTGGATTATGGGAATATGATAACCAAAGGGGAGTGGAAGGGAGAAGGGACAAAAAACGTTGTGCGCTACATTATTCTTCCGCACTTCTCTTTGTATTACTAAATATTCCTTAACTATAACCACAAGACGTAAGCACCATTCAGCAGCACAACACAAGTCACAGCACAGTCTACCTCTATGCTTTTCACTTGGGTGTTTGGCCTCAATAATATGGCAGCATCCATTGAGTGACATTCAATTATAGTGCCAAACCACAACAAAATAATCATCTGTGATCAAAGGGACTGGCTTATTTACCAAACTAAAATATGGCCAGTGCTACACACAGACTCACCTACTGTATATAGGTGAGTGACCTCACACAACAGTGATTCAATTCAATTCAATTTTATTTGTATAGCACCAAATCACAACAAAAGTCATCTCAGGACACTTGACAAAGTAAGGTCTAGACCTTACTACCATTTTTATCATTATTATTATTATTATCATCATCAAGGAAGAACCCAGCAAATGCCCCTTGAGCAAGCACTTGGTGACAGTGGAAGAAACCTCCGACAGACCCTGGCTCTTTGTGGGTAGCCTTCTGCCTCAGCTGGATAGAGGAGAGACAAAAGAAAAGAAAAGCAACAAGACACACCAAACACAATAGCAAGCAAACAGTGGGCAGGTTGATGTGGCTGGTCAGTGCTCATTAGAAATGT